AGTTTGGTGCAACTTTCATCTTGTAAAAGATTTGCCACCATCCTCCCTCTGCTGCGGCTGGCGGTCGCCAATCCGACGACTACCAATCGCCATGCGTAGAGGGTTGTTTTTTTTTGAAAAATTAATCCAAATAAAACAATATATACAACAATGCACAGAGTAGCTGTGCGTGTTGATGTAATAGGAAAATAGCCTAGCAAAAAGGGGAAAAACACTTGCAGTACTGTTCACTGTTTTCAGATCGGACGACTAATCGCGATTAATCGTGATTAGTCGTCCTTATCGTAACCAGGTGCTCGATAAGGGCCCTCGATTAGTTTAGACCGATTAGAAAACTTATCGTCCGATAAGTTGCAACTAATCACGATTAGTCGTCCGATCGGACTTGGATTGACGACTAGTTCGGGGAAGGGAGAATTTGGCCCAGCTAAAGAATTCGCCCACTGGGCTGCTGCCCATTAGGGTAAGAAGAAGAGGAGTGAGTGAGTGACCTAGTGGGAGTTGCAACCGCATTGCCGCCTCCCTTCTCTCTCTCGCAGCAGCTGCTGCTCTCTCTCAGCGATCGGCGCGGCCTGCTCTGATCTCCCCTCGCCGGCGTCCGCAGCTCTGTCCGCGCCCTCGCCGGTGTGTCCAGCTCCGTCCGCGCCACGCCTCATGGCGTCCGCAGCTCATTGCCAGCGCCTCTATCCGGCGTCCATGCTCAGCCCAAGGCCTCTGTCCGGCGTCCCGCAGCTCCGCCAAGGCCTCCACCTCCACTCGCTCTGTCTCCTCCCTTCGCCGGGACCCAGTGATCCGCCGCCTCTGAGGCTCCTTCCTCGATGCTGAAAGACGGACACGGAGGCCTCAAGCATCAAAATGAGCCACCATGATACGGTAAAGTGGCCAAATCAAATAAGCAGCGATTCTGGTAAGTGGCCAAATCACCATGATAATGATTCATTGCAAACATGATTACATGCCAAACTATGCTTGGTTGCTTGCCTCTAACATTTACCTATTTATTATGGCCATGTTTACATATATTTACATCATATATATAGTATATACATAGTCGATCAGACCATCTAGGCACAAGGACGACTAAATGTCCGACTAGCCGATTAGACCGATTAGACCGATTAGGACCGACTAATCGACCCTTATCGACGACTAATCGCGATTAGTCGTCTAATCGGTGGTCATACGACTAGCCTCGATAATACGATCTGAAAACATTGGTACTGTTGCAATCACCTAAGCTGCATAGCATGGATTGTCCATTCCTTCTGCCAAGTATACACAAAAGAAGAACATAATATTTCTTTTTGACATTATTCATCAAAAGAACCTAATTCATATCTTTCTTCAGTTATTTGAGAAAGGCACAGCCGCTTAAGAAAGAGCCATCACATTTTTGAGCCTGCCTGGATAAACCTTAACTAGGACAAAACCTGCAATTAACAAATGAAAACATGAAGAACATGGAAAAGTAATATCATACAGAAATCAGTGGGTGGCATGCATGAATATGCAAAAACCAGACCCAGATATAGTCTCGCTTTGCAATTCCTAATTTTCTTCCATTAGCTATCATCTGAAACGAAGGTAAACACTACAATTCTCAAACCAACAGATGGAAAATCAGTCGTAAATCTATTTCTAGATGAGACTTAAGAACCTACATTAATCAACCATTTGGAATCTTTAAGTTGTACAATTGAAATTTGGCCAAGAATACAGTTTGCCTAAACTATGCAGAATGATGAAAATGAGTATATGTAACAGTAGAAGAGAGATGCTCCAGTGCTTTCAAGTAAACAACATTCAGGAAACAACACTTTTTACTGATTAAAAAAGGAATTTAAGACTCTAAGAGGATGAATTATCTCATCCTTATGTCATTGTGGGTACACTTTCAGAATGGCAGTATAAGTCTTTTATGCACTGTGTCCAATACTTCTAAAGTCAACAGACCCATTAAGACTATTCAATCAAGCACATTTGTGAAAATTTCTCAACTCAGAACGCCATCACATTTACTTGTTCCAGCACACTTTTTCAAATGCATCGCACAAAGCAAATATTACAAAAGATTGTTTCATCACACATTGCAAACTGGTGCATTGACACCCAAAGGGGGGGTGTGCATTGTGTTATCATCTATGGTAACAATAAACACTAGCAACCTATATGCAGATAGCACCTTTAAATGGGAAGGCTGCTCTCAAGCATCCATCAGTTACCATTACATTCTTCCTTTCATCAGTAAATGACAAGTATTCATTACGGCCATGTTCGTATCTCTTATAATCCGTATTTTTCAGCTTGTTTTTTCAGTCGGAACAGTGTTTTTCTCTCGTAACAAATCAGTCGGAAACCGTGTTTCGGCTTATTTTTTCAGCGAAGTACTCAGCACTTTAAGCTCAATAGGTTTCCTGCGTAGCTAGCAACTGCAGAGAAATGCTTTGACTCCACTGAATCAGTAAGTATGTTGGTTCTTGGATCATAAATCTGTAAATACTCATGGTCTTGTTTATAGAGGATTATCCTCCCGTCTCCAAACACAAACAAGGGATGCGCCTGCACGAGCCCAGGAATGTCATATTTTTCAAACTGTATGCTGTACATTTTGACCCAGAGACCCTTAGCAAAGTCCAGTAGAGTCCAAATGTCAACATTCGGAGCTGGGCCATGCACAACAACCAAGGAGCGATTCAGATTGGCTACTGTCAGTCAGTTGCCTTACATTAGGAGGACCAAGGTCGTAGAACATCAGATCAGCATCATCAGGAAAGGTGATCGGGGCCCCCTGATAGACGGCCCCCATGCCTCAGTCTCATGGTCGAATGTAAAAATCAAATCTTTCTCACTAACTTGGTTATCGAAGGTGATAGAGTGGTGTGGTTGAGAACTTAGGCAGTAGACAACCCCATTAAGACCTTGTTTGGAACAGAGGAAGTTCAAAGGAATTTCAAAGGAACCCAAACCTCTGTTTTGCTGATGTCACTACGCGTTTGGTATGGAGGAATCGGCAACGAACTTTCCATAGGAACGGTACATAAGCATGTACTTTTGTAGGAAACAAAAAATGAGCTCCGAGTCTATGGAAAATTTCCTACGGTGCTTGCGCTCATGCTGTGCTATGTATTCCTGCGTTTTTCCTGTGTTATGGATTCCTGCGTTCCAAACACCCCTTCTAGTTATTTCCCGTGTTTTTCCTTTCCTCTGTTTTACCACTACACACTCACCTCATTCCTGTGTTTTTTTTTCTGTTCCCGTGTTTTTTATTCCTGCGTTCCAAACAGGCCCTAATTACCACACTGGTAAACCTACCCATCTGAGAGCTTGTTTAGTTCCCAAAAAGTTTCTAAAAAGTGTTGCAGTAGCTATCACATCAAATTTTGTGATACGTGCATGGAGCATTAAATGTAGACGAAAAAAAATTAATTGCACAGTTTGATTGGAAATTGCGAGACAAACGTTTTGAGCCTAATTAGTCCATGATTAAACACTAATTGCTAAATAAAAACGAAAGTGCTACAGTAACCAAATTCCCAAAGTTCGCGAACTAAACACAGCCTGAATGGTTTCTTCAAGGGGCGCCGCTCTCCACCCTGCACAGCTGCTACTGTTGAGTGTGCAGACCTCAAACGGGCCTGTTTGTTTGGAGAAATCTTGAAAAATTTACGAGAGCATAAACAGTGTTTTCATCTCAAAACAGTCAAATCCGGCTGGTTTTCATACCAGCCGAAGGCAGCCGTGACATCTGCCGACGTCCAACCCCAATGGAAAAATGGAATAGCATTCGAAATATCTTGTATTCCCCTGTGCGGGCGACCTGTCCAAACAGATATTTGCGCTCAATGATCAAGGCCTCGTTTAGTTCCGCCGAATGGACGCCGGTAGGAACACTGGAGCGACACTGTAGCTACAGTGTCGTTTATTTTTATTTGGTAATAATTATTCAATTGTTGACTAATTAGGCTTAAAACGTTCGTCTCGCAAAGTATAACCAAACTGTGCAATTAATTTTTAATTTCGTCAACATTTAGTACTCTCATACATGTACTGTAAATTTGATGTGACGGAAAATCTTCTTTTTGCATAGTGTCGAATTCTAGAATTATGAGGGAACTAAACGCGGCCCAAGCTCGAAGCGAGTTCCACATGCTCTTCTGCATAGTTGTCCGGTATGCGACACACAGCTCCAGTAGCCGGATCGAGTAATTTGTCCGGTAAGTAATACAATTCCTCGCGAATCGGGATGAACAGTCGGTAGCTGCTGCAGCTGTCGTCGATTTTCCTGACACAGACGCGGTCAATGCTCACGCTCACGGCTCTGTCGCCCTTCATTCCGCGCACCTTCTTGACGATTTGCCCGGAGAGATCCATGATACCCACGAGCACGTCGCGCCCCGCGCCTTCGCTGTATCCGGGTGATGATGAGCACCGCCTGATGCCGCGCGTCGTGGGCCGCGGCGAAGTACGGGTCGGAGAGGAGGGACCGCCACAGCCGGCAGACCAGGCGGAGGCGGCAGAGCTCCTTGGCCTGGAGGCGCAGCAGGATCTCGCGCAGGGCGTCCAAGGGCAGAACGCCGATGTCGGACGTTGCCGGAGCCGGCATGATGCGCCGCTCCGCCTCCGGCATGGCACACGGCTTCGACAACGACATCCCACGGGCGTCTTGTTTGGTTCCGCGCCGGACCTCGCCGCCGGTAGTAAGATCCGCGCGGCACGGCCAGTAGCCCACGCCCGGACGCGGCAGGGGAGCCGCAGGGAGGAACCGTGGTTTTTTTTTGCGGTTGCGGTCCATTCGTACGGGGTTTGGTTGCGTGCTCTGATGGGCCGGGCGGCTGGACGAAACGGACGACGGCGACAAGATTCCGAAGTCGCCGCGCCCACGAGGCCACGACCCACCTCGCCATTCCATTCCATCCCTTCCGGCTAAAGTCAGCGTCTTCCCTTCCAGGCTTCCACGCGGCACCGACCGAGGTTCTCGACTCACGAGCAATCCGCCAGCCATGGCATCCCCCTCTCCCCCGGCGCCCCAGTCAGACAGCGCCGCGCTCCTCAAGGCCTTCGACGAGGCGCGCACGGGTGTCCGCGGCCTCGTCGAGTCCGGCCTCTCCTCCGTGCCCGCGCTCTTCGTCCATCCGGACCCCTACGCCTCCGCGCCCCTCGCGCCGCCGGGCGTCTCAATCCCAGTCGTCGACCTCTCCCTCCCCGCGCCCGCCGCCGCCCGCAGCTGGGGCTTCTTCCACCTCGTCAACCACCACCAGGCCCTCGGCGTCCCCGAGGACTACCCCGCGCGGGCGCTCGACGCCGTGCGCGCCTAACGAGCTCCCGGCCCCCGAGCGCGCCGCGCACTACGGCCGCGCCATGCCCGGTGGGGTCTCCTACTCTTCCAACGTCGACCTGTACCGGGCCCCCGCCGCGAGCTGGCGCGACACCATCCAGATCGCGTTCGGGCCCGATCGGCCCGACCCGGCGCGCATCCCGGCCGTCTGCCGCGACGAGGTGCTCGAGTGGGACGCGCACGCCACCGCCGTCGGGCGCGCCGTGCTGGGGCGCCTTTCGGAGGGGCTCGGGCTCGGGGCCTCGAGGCTGGAGGCCGCTTCCTGCCTCGAGGGCAAGGTTATGGTGTGCCACTACTATCCAGTGTGCCCTGAGCCCGAGCGCACCATGGGCCTTGTCCCGCACTCAGACCCCGGCGTGCTCACCGTCCTGGCGCAGGATGGTATCGGTGGCCTGCAGGTCAAACAAAGCGATGATGATGGGACGAGCCGCTGGGTGGATGTGAAGCCTGTGCGGGGTGCGCTTGTAATCAACGTCGGGGACCTCTTGCAGGTACAGTTCTGTTGTTTACTATTACTTTACTTGGGTAAAGTATCCAGACAATCAAGTATCTGAATTCAGTTTTCAGCCAATTCAGTTAAATCTGTACCATCGAGGAACAGTTTATGGCCTCTATCTATATATACTTCATTGAAGTTTATTAGTACTTCACTTCACATCACTTAGAAACTCCAGTGTTCTAAACACTTCACTTTGTGTACTGCTTTAAGCCTTTATAAGTGGCAAAAGCACACCATATCTGGTTAAGCATATGTCTGACCAAATCCTGAAAGTAAAATATCTATTAGAGGTTGGATTATTGGAACATATTGCTCCATGTGGTATCTAATTCTAGTATTACTTTCTGTTTGAATACTTGTTTTTTTTTGTTTTCAGACAAAATTCATGTATAGAAATGCCTGTTAGCTTCCAAGAAAATACTCAGAACATGTTTATCTTCACGATAGGATTATAAAACTTTAGACATTAGTCTTTGATTTTGACCACATGTATCCACAGATAACAATGTGCACGTTGCTGGTTTTTCCCTGGAACTGTGTTGTAATGCGCAGTCCTGTTAGTTCTGGTTGCTTGTAATTCTCATTACTGTTGGGAGTCTGCTCCTGTAATCCAAATTCTACTTCCTCTTGATGAAATATGTGCAGACGCACGGTCGCGAAAAAAAGTTCTGGTTGCTTGTGGCAGATTTGCAGGCTGAGCTCTGAGATGGAGTATCAGTATGTGTGTCTGAAATTAGGACGTTTGCTACTGTTTCTGTCTTCTCTGTTGTTCTGTTACAAACTGTTGTATTTCCTTTATGCTTAATGGAAATGGGGTTACCCTGTGTCGAAAAAAAAGGATAACAAAATGCACCATGCTAGCATGAGTTACAGAATATGATTTTAAGAAGCTCTGTGGAGCAGCTTTATAATGCCATCATCTTATCTAACTTATTTTTATCCTATACTTTCATCAGATCATGTCTAATGATAAGTACAAGAGCGTTGACCATCGTGTGATTATGAATACACGAGAAGAAGCAAGAGTTTCAATCGCAATATTTTTCAATCCTGGCAAGAGATGGGACACAATTTTTTATGGCCCACTACCAGAGCTGGTTTCTTCAGATAGTTCACCAAAGTTCAGGAATTTTACCACGTCTGAGTTTCTGGGGGCCTTCTTTAGACGAGACCTTGCCAGCAGAGCTCTGGTTGAGCACTTCAAATTGTAAATACTTAACCACAGTTACTTCAAATTGTAATACTTTATGTTCACAAGCCCGACCCAACCAACAAAAGTTCAAACTTGTGTCAACACGTGTGACGGGTGATAATGCAAGGAAAAAAAATTCTATCTCGTAAAAGTCATGCTACACTGTTTTCCATTAGATTTATGGAGGATGTGTCAAATTAATGATAGATTGTTTCCTTGATGACATCATCATATAACTAATGCTGGACAGGCCCTATAGGCATGCAGCAGCTTTGTTGGGCTAGCATTTACATCTATACAAATTAGTCCAAACTCTTAACATGGACAGAAACATGCACACAGACATCATGGCTGCTCTACTCACCTAAAATTGGGATGGGTGTCACACTGTCACATGCTGTCCAGAATTCTACATGGGTTCACTTATATGGACATGAGTCCTAAGGGCTTGTTTTACCTGTAAAATTTCTTCGGCATATCTTATCTATTTGTTTTTTTTATAAGGGCATATCTTATCTGTTGAAGCAATCACTGATTTATTGCATTCCCTTCCAAATTCGGGCATGGATTTACTATGCGAAGCTCAAGAGCATCTAGAATATACATTATTGCTGCCAATCCCCAGAATAAGTGAAAGCTAACTTTTGTAAGCTTGTTACAATGTTTAGCTACGTGTTTCAGACTTTATCCCACAAAATATTTCTTATTACAAGCTGATTCAAATGTGGAAAATTGTTGATATGGAAGCTGAATTACCAAAGCATCGGTCAGCAAAAGAGTTCACATGTCCACATCAACAGGGTCACGTCTTGAATATTTTGGATCTCTGAGAAGACATAAGTCCGCGAAATGCTGAAAGAATATTTTTTCTCCATGTTAATCACTAATTACAAATTCTTTGGATGTACTTATCATTGAAGTTGGGATATATAAGTGTCAGTTGCAGAGGAAATGCTGACATTCTTTCGTAGTGTTCATGCTTGCAAATGTTGACACAAGGATTCATCACTTCACTTTTCCAAAAGAAACTGCTATGAATTGTTCCTGTAATCCTTTTTAGAAGAATCAGTTGATATACTCACCATATCATCTGGTGTGGCCGTGTGGGTATGTGTCTCCCCTTGCATACTATGGGTATCTTCCTGCACACCAACTTTGGCATGCTTTTTGTGCTCGCTGGAATGGTTAGTAGCCTGCAGTTGGAACACATTAGTGAGGATGGGTAGAGCTATTTGGGTTGATGTAAAGCTTGTGGCCGTAATTTTTGTGATCAATATCAGCGACGTTTTCCAGGTAAAATGCAACACTTTGGTGCCCAATCAAACTCAGTTCTGTGTTTCAATTGTCTGAATTGTTCGTGCTTCAGGGTTCAATGCATATAAGCTACTGTAGGATTTACCTGCATTGGATTCAGGATCTTGTGCACTGAAGAGCTTTGACCTGCTAGCTTTCATTGAAACAGTAGGAAATTCATTAACAGAGCTAGAGAAAGATATAGTATAGCTCATATTTATTTCATATACTTTGTGCGTTATTTTTTTTTGAAAGAATTGTGTGCGTTATACCATGGCATTAAAAATCTTTACTTTATAGGTTTGTGCACAAGTAAACATAAATCGGGCTACTATGCTACAACCTGTGGTTCTACAAGCTTAATCAAGGAACTTCACAATGACCTTGCTCCATCTTTCTTTGTAACCCTTTATTTCCACAAGATAATGTCTAATTATACTCGTATAGCTATCAATATTGTGTCACAATGAATTAGCTAGCATGCCGAACCTGTACTTTTCATTGTTGCTGTTTTTTCCCCGTCGGAATGATACAGGCGTCAAATTATATGGACCACTGCCCTATCTGTGTCCTTGGAAATTCAACACACAAATTCTGAACTTGTGCGCAGGCGACCATGTCAGTGTCAATATTGTACTCCAATGCAATTATTTTACCTCATAGAAGTCATGCTGCTGCTGCTTCTGTGTAATTTGGCATCATGCAGTCACGCATTCTTGACCTCCAATTTTATATTGGATCAAGGAGCTGAGCCTGGCCTAAAGGCTGGATAATCAGCTTGCGAAGGCTGGAATGCTCTTTCCTTAATCAGTCAGCTTAGTTGGTTTGCTGCCTTTTTATGCCTTTTTGTAAAGCTCACTTTGTTTATGGATCCAAAACAAGCATTGGGATCTTTTGCTGAAGCCCAGAAGCTCAGCCGTTGCATGTTGCATTTCTCCTTATGTTAGTTGCGGACACTTCATACACACACTTCTCAGTCCCAAGTCCCAACCCATTGCTGAATGGGACGAGTCAATAGCAGTTCACAGCTTTTAACGAGGTATGATCTCTGCTGCTCAGACTTGATACCTGTATTGTAATAGCTCTGGTTTTCTGTTCTGTTTCACATATTTATTCAGAGTGGCACACTGTTGTGAAGGAGCCTCTTGGATCGTTGGTATTGGGAGGCGATCACTTGATATCTTATGAGTGGTTAGAGCCGTGCCTTTTCCGTCCCAAAGTAGAGAGTGGCGTGCTGTAGCCCTCTGTTGTCTCCTGCTCCGACGGAACCCCCACCAGCAGCGGCTGTGGGACCGGGAACGGCGCTCCAGTTCATTGTCGCGTTTTTCCTCTCATGTCACGCATGCCCTGTTTGGTCGCTTTTGGCTTTGGTTTTTATCCCCAAAAGTCAAAAGCTCAATCAAAGGAGCTGTTTTTGAAGGGTGCTTTTTTCCAGAAACAGCTGCTTTTTTCGTAGTTCATTTTTGAAAGCTGGGTTGACCCTGCTTTTGGCTTTTGGCTTTCTGCTTTTCGAAATTGGTGGAATAAAAAGCTCTTCCATAATTGTTTCAAGAGAGATAAAGATAAAAGATATATTTTATACTTGTTTAACCAAACAACTTTCAGCTTTTCTACAGCTCACATCACAATTACAAAGAGCTTTTCCATGACTCACAACCCCACAACAATTTTTTTCCCACGTACCACAAATCAACCAAACAGGGCATAAGCGAGCGTGCCACGACCACGAGTCATTTTGCGACATCCTTTGCTTCTCTCCGTCGCGACTGCCGAAATTGTGGTCCAAAACACGATCGACATCTTTTCATTTTACAACTAGAGGGTTTGCCCTCTTTTTAGCATGCAAAGATATTAAGCAAGCGGATCGGAGCCGGGGCGAGATATCATCGCGCGTTGGGTCGGTTGCTCAGCATGGTCGTTGCGGGTGGAGCCGCGGACACACGGCTGGCTGGGGCAGCATACAAATACCAGCCAAAAGCCCAAACTCTTAGGTCGGCGCCAGAACTTATCTTTAGACTCTTAGTCGGCGTCAGATCTTAGGGCGTCAAGGTAACACGTTTCGACGCTATAGATCTTGGCATCGAGGTGCCTAGCCATGTACAACAGGACATCCTAGGTGGCGTTGACGTGACCGGTATGTCAACGCCAGAATACATGGCTCCGAGCTCGGTGCCACAGATCTTGGCGCCGACCTCGGAGCGGGTCAGATGATGTGCTGCAACGGAGGCGATAAGACGTGCAAGCGGTAGCAGGCCACACACCAACACCGCTCTCCTCTCCTCCCCTCTGACGCGAACGGCAGGTGCCTGTCAGTCTGCCACCATGCGCGTGCTCGATGCATGCTGCTTTTGCCCCTGCAGGTGGAGAGCTGTAACATCAAATCATCTAGCCTCACAGAGTCACAGTCACTCTCTCTCTCTCGTAGTATGTGACTGCACAGGCTCGCTAGCGCTGGGGAGCAGCAACAGGCACGGCAGTGCAGCATACGAGAAATTATGAATCATTTCTTCTCTCACTCGAGTACTGCCCCCTTTATTACTCTCTGCCGATATACAGCTAGCAGATGCATCCGGTTGAACCGATGTTGGGCTTGGCGAATCTATTTTTCTTGATCAATCTTTTAATCGTTGTAAGTTTGAAAACCCGAAACTAAATTGGGCAACTGATCTGACCTTTGCATTATTTAGAATTTAATCAACCTTTCAAGCCCAATGTTGACCATGTTTTATTTTGCTAACAGGTCTATAATATTGACCATGGTTTTGCGTGAGTATACAACTTGTAAAACCTGAAGTAGCATGGAGTTCGCTTGAACTTATCGGCCTGGTTTATCAGCCATGGTACAGTATTTTTCTCTCGCAAGAAAACAACATCAACCGACTTATTAGCCGTAAAAACCATCAGCCGAACACTTTCGCGGGGTTCTACATATTAATTTTTTTATTACAACTAAACTTAATAGCGACTATATGGATTTGTAAGAGACCTTCAGTCTGTTCGCTGGTTCGATAAGCCACTTGTGCTAGTTTGTACGACGGATTTATTGTAAGAGAAAAACACTGTACAATAATTAATAAGCCCTGGCCGAAACCAACAATCGAACATGCTGCTTGTTTTATTAATACCAAATGTTCTACATATCATGGTCCTAGGCAAATTTAATAATTGGTATCGTTGGATTGGTTCTAGAAAAATCTTTGAATCTAGGTGCCTCCTCAGCACCAACGCGCCTGTGCAGTCACATATTATGAGAGAGAGAGAGTGACTGTGACTCTATGAGGCTAGATGATTTGACGTTACAGCTCTCCACCTGCAGGGGCAAAAGCAGCATGCATCGAGCGCGCGCATGGTGGCTGACTCGCAGGCACCTGCCGTCCGTGTCAGAGGGGAGGAGAGGAGAGCGGTGTGTGGTGTGTGGGCCTGCTACCGCTTGCATGTCTCATCACCTCCGTTGCAGCACATCATCTGACCGGCTCTGAGGTCGGCGTCAAGATCTGTGGCGCCGAGCTCGGAGCCATGTATTCTGACGTCGAGGTACCGGCCACGTCAACACCATCTAGGATGTCATGCTGTGCACGGCCAGGTACCTCAGAGCCAAGATCTGTGGCGCCGAGACGTGTTACCTCGACATCATGAGTCCTGACGCTGACTCCCAGGATCAGAGATAAGTTTACGTCTGACCAAACATAAATTTTCTTAAAAAAACCAAATTGTAAAAAATTGGTCGACGTGTGGAAGTGTGGTGTGAGGCTGTGATGAATCAGTTTGGTGGTGCTCGGACGGTGCATATATGTGTGATGATGCTTTCGCGACCGGGACGCGTAACGGCTAACCGCGTACGAGCTCGTCCTCTTGGACCAGCAGTTCAGTATCAGTCCAGCGTATAGTACTCGCAAGGCATGTAGAGGGAGCCTACTCAAATAGGGAAATGCTATTTTTCAGACGCAAACTAAATTACTTGTCTTTTTAATTTGTCAAGATGCAAGCCCGTGTTTAGTTCCAAAATTTTTTCCCAAAAATGCTTTAGTACTCATCACATTAAATCTTGCGATACGCGTATGGAGCATTAAATGTAGACGAAAAAAAACTAATTACACAGTTTGATTGGAAATTGCGAGACGAACGTTTTGAGCCCAATTAGTCCATGATTGAACATTAATTATCAAATAAAAACGAAAGTGCTACAGTAACCCAAATTCCAAACTTCCCTCAACTAAACACGCGCCAAGTCTCAAAAGGTTATTTTGTTGCTGCTGCCACATCTCTGTCAATGGGCGTAGTACGTAGTATTTGGAACCGTAGCCTATGGCGGGTGGCGCCACCGTACGGTACAGTAGGCAGTCGTCGAGCCATGTTTCGATCAGAGCTTATCAGTCCGTCAATAATATTTTTCTCTTACTATAAATCTGTATCAGTCAGGTTTATTAACCAAGAAACTAACCGACGAACAAGCTCCGTAGCTCCACGGCTGTGGGACCGGGAACGGCGCTCCAGTTCATTGTCGCGTTTTTCCTCTCACGTCACGCATGGCCATGCTAAGCGAGCGTGCCACGACCACGAGTCATTTTGCGACATCCTTTGCTTCTCTCCGTCGCGACTGCAGAAAATGTGGTCCAAAACACATCTTTTCATTTTACAACTAGAGGGTTTGCTTTAGCCGCAGTTGAACACGCCCAATATCAGACTTGCTTCATCGTCAGTTTCGGAACCAAACATGCCCACAGCAGATTGATAACCGTGTCAGAAATTTAAAGCTAGCCGTCAGCCAATGCTCTCCGATCATCCCCGGCCCACGCTGCGCGGAGAGTGAGAGATGCAGAGCACGTAGGCGGCAAGCAGGGGCCACCGGGCCAGGGCAACATGGTCGTTGCGGGCGGAGCCGCGGACACACGGCTGGCTGGGGCAGCATACAAATACCAGCCAAAAGCCCAAAAGCAGCGCACCCACAGCTCCACAAGCCTCTTTTGCCTCTTCCATCACCAGTTCACCACAAAAACAAGCGCTCGATTAATTCGTTCTTCCACTCCTGCCGCGTCCTGCTCCACCTCCACCACTTATCGGCACCTCAGCGCAGCGCATCTCTCGCTCGTCGTCCTCGTCAACGATCTCACAGCTTCCATGGCCGCCAAACCTGCAGAGACGACACCTGGTAAGTCTATTTCCCAGTCCCAGGAAGCGGCGTGCGGCAGCAGCAAATTAAAAGCGATATATATAGGAAAACGTTCCTCGGCCTGGCATATCATTCTTCATCTGTGGCGTGAGTTTTGACCACCGTGCTCCTCTCTTTAATTTGCTGCTCGGACCGCACCAGGGAGCAACTCCTCCTCGTCGTCCATGGCGGACGTGTACAAAGGCGAGCTGACGCCGTTGCAGAGGCACGTCGCCTTTTTCGACAGGAACAAGGACGGCATCATCTATCCCTCCGAGACATACCAAGGCGCCTACTGTTTTGCTCTATACAGATGATTTCTCCAAACTTCTCATGGACACCTGATCCAGGATGATAACCATATCTGACTGTTGTTTCTGGCCTGCTGCAGGGTTCCGCGCCATCGGGGCCGGCGTCCCCTTGTCTGCCTTCAGCTCCGTCTTCATCAACGGCCTCCTTGGACCCAAGACCGTACCGGTATATATGTCATCTCTCCCTCAGCCAACACCCTATCTCAGCAACATCTTGAAATGCATGCCTTTAGTCTTCCGTAGATCGATCTCGCTGAAATCTGAATCTCCACTTTAATTTGGCCTTTTGAGTATGTATCTCGCTAAATGCAGAAACTATATTAAGATCGTCCTTTTATACCATTTCTCTGTCATTCCACTTTACCAAATCGACTTCTTCTGCATGTCAGGAAGAAATTTAAACCATACTGTAGTTGGTGATTGTTTAGAAATTACGAACTACTGACATAGTACTATCGAGTTCTTCCTAAAGGTTGCTTCAAGTTTTAATCTAGCTTCGGCTTGGGATATAGGAGGTCTCAAAGTTTCTTCAGGCCAAACATAATTCAATACGCTTATGGATTTAGTGGCAAAATTTTAAAAGGATCACTGCAATATTCCAATAATCACATGGATTAACGAGGAATCCTAAACTAAACAATGTGATATAAGGATTCGGTGGGATCTGTACTAACATGGGTATATATAAAATGTGATGCCAGGTTCCTGGACACATCATGACAACATGAAAATGTGCAAGTCCATTACATATAAAACTACACCGTACCTTTCAGTTATCTTCGGAAACATATAGTATTTGGAAATCGTCTTATTATGCATATTTTATACAGTAACTTCTAAGTGCCAATGTATTCAGATGCAGAAATTGAACTCTTTCTGACGTCGGCTCGTTCCATGTCAATTTCAGGAGAACGAGAAAGCACCAGCTTTCAAGCTCCCCATCTACGTGAAGAACATCCAAAAGGGAAAGCACGGAAGTGATTCGGGCGTGTACGATGCCAATGGAAGGTACCTATCCAATTCAAATTTCCATCTCACCATCTCCAGACTAAAAAATCAGAGTCCAGACACATGATGGCAGCAGCACAACGTTTCTGTTTTTCGTCAATCTCACTTCTCAGTGTACTTTACTGAATGAAGACAAGGTAACACTAACAAACAAACAGTCAACAATCGATAGTGCCACTTCTCCTATGTGAGATGAGATGGATGCATACTACTTTTGATGAACTAATGATTAAACAATTATGGGAGGCAGCTGGGAGTGAAGCGTTTCTTATGTCGTTTTGCCCTTTGTCTAAAGCACCACTCAACAACTTCAGTCCAAACATGATAATGTGAGAGGAAAGCATTGGAACAAAAACTACTGACATGATGAGGTTGTTGCATTAGTTAATCAAGCTCAGTTTCAAACGAAAAGAGAACTATTGCCATGAGAATGGGGAGTCGTTCACATGTGCCTTGGTTCACTGTAATTTATTATAGGTGTTCAGCTAAAAAAATGTCTGGCCTAATCCTTTTTTTTTTCGACCAAAGGCATTTAGCCCAGCTTATATTGAAAGCTAAAAAGAGGTTTTTACCGGGGTTACCGGCTTACAAGGCACAAGTTCAGATACAAGAAAAACTCCATGCAACGGCAACCTCCTAACCTAACAGTCCAGACAGAACACAGATCTCTCCTACGACCAGCTCCTAACCTCCCAACAAGACCCTGACTTAAAGCCAGAAACGCTACAGAAACTTGGGCTGCAAACAGAAAAACACATGACAGCGAACGCTTTTTTGCATTAAGCACAGGTCACCAGTGTTCCATCCCTGCCATCAGCTTCTCCACTGCCGCTTCCTTCTTTGCTCCGTCCTTTCTTGCCAGTTTGATCCACTGCTTCATAAAGCCGAGAGATTTATAAGCTACATGTTTAGGCGATTTAATCACAATGTTAGAAAAAACTAAGTCGTTTCTAGTTTTCCAAAGCGACCACCCCACAGCCGCCATCACCCACCACACAATCTCATGTTCATCCCCACCCCCTTGTACTAGAAACAAATCTTAAAATTTAGTGACTGATGTTGGAGCACTCGGCCAACCTAAACTGTCCCTGACCCAGCACCACAGAGCCCTTGCAATTGGGCACTGAAAAAGCAAATGGTTAACTGTTTCCTCTTTGCCACAGAATTTACACACATCTTCTTTGTCCCAGTTTCTCCTCTTCAGTTGATGAGTTGTCTGAATTCTGTCATGTCATGCCATCCACTGAAAAATCTTCACTTTCAAAGGGATTTTGGTGTTCCAAATTTCCATCATTCTAACATCCACCACCCCAGCAAAAGTAATATATCTGTACATGCTCCTTGTAGAGAATTTCCCTGACTTATCCAGTTTCCAAGTAACTCTGTCATCCTCCTCTGTGAGGTTGATCCTCTCCAGTTTAGTCATCATCTCTCTCCACCCCTCCAACTCAGAATCACCGAAACACCTCCTGTAGCTAAAATTCCATGCCATTTCACCAGCTGTTTGAACTGAAACTTCTTGGTCATGGCAAATACTATATAGTTTAGGGAAGCTAACTTTTAGAGGGCATTCATCTAACCATACATCCTTCCAAAACCATGTCTGGCCTAATCCTCCTCGAAAACAACAAAAAAGTATCTCATAATCATCTACTTATAGTTACAAAAAAAAAAAATTTTTGGATAGTTCGTTGAGCTAAAAGAATTGCTAATCGTCATTGTATCTTTCAACCTCCAGGTTCGTTCCTGAAAAATTTGAGGAGATCTTCAAAAAGCATGCCCACACCAGGCCTGATGCCCTGACCGGCAAAGAGCTGAAGGAGCTGCTCAAAGCAAACAGGGAGCCTAATGACTTCAAAGGATGGTAAATACTCTTCAGGAGCTAGACTGCTAGAACAGTATATATATGACATGCAAGAAGGGTATATGCTCCGTCTTTGAGCTGAGTATGTTTCGGAAAAAATACTGCAGGCTTGGTGGTTTCACAGAGTGGAAGGTGCTCTACTCCCTCTGCAAAGATGAGAAAGGGTTTCTTCACAAGGACACTGTCAGGGCTGTCTACGATGGCAGCTTGTTTGAAAAGTTGGAACACGAGAGGAAGTCTAAGAAGGAGTCTACTAAGAAGAAATGATAAGAGCATCATCGTGTTACTCGCTAGTGTCTGGAAGAATTTGTAAATCGGGGTATGCTGTGTGTATGTGGATCAGTAGAATAATATAAACCCTAGTTTGATTCTGTACGCCAGTGGATTCATCTTTATTTATGGAGCAAGAGATTTCTTATAAATATATCAATCTTTCTATCATTATTGTAATATGTGTTTTTAGAATTAATCTGTGGTAATCTAGAGACAGAAGGTAGACAAATGAATTTTCCATCTATCTCCACGACAAATGATTGAATGTACTATACGAGCCTAAATATAAGTTTATCTGGTTTTTTTTGCATCTTATTAGGATACATGTAGTTAAATTTTGAATTTCTTTAGATAAGCATGCATAAATTGATTTAAACCGTAAACGATATTGAATCATTCCTAAAATTTCTAAACTCTTGGACAACAACATATATGTCTTCTGTTGCATGTGAAGAAGCTTTATGATACATAAGGAAAAAGTTTTATACGATAACAAAAACTTTTAAAAAAATACATATACGATAACAAAGACTTTTTTTATGAAAGAATTACAACCTTTTTCCAACTAGACCAATGTTAATGTTGTAGTCTACAAACACGTTATAACATAGCCACCTCATGAATCTTCTTGTAGCACTCGAGTGGGTTCTCAGAGGTGCTAGAGCATGGCGAAGGGATGGAAGGTCGGAGTCATTTGGGCTGCGAGCAATGATGAGCCTCTAGCTCAAATGTAACACTGCTCAACAACCAATCGGATCATGCTATCATTGCTCCCAATGTGTCTTTCCTTCGGCGTGGCTCCATCTTCATAAACCTTCTTCTAGTACCTCTCGTGCACCATCTTGAGTTTTGACTATGAAGGAAAAGTGTATGTGGAGGAATTTCTCCTAGAAAGACGGTTTCTTGCAAAGGGAGCGCATATTGAGACCATAAATTGTGAAGCAATGAGTAGTTTTACTAGATCCATGTGGAACTACAAGCAGGGGAGCTCAGTTGTCCATGTGGGGCAATATACGTGTGTCTGGACACATGATTTACACTACTACCATAAATCTTTTCCAAGGCGTTTGCCAAATGGCCTCGGAGGCAGGCGGGCCAGTTGCCCGCCTCCGTTATTAGGTGGCCGGACAGCTAGCCCAACAACCGCCTCGGTTAATTATTAACCGAGGCGGGCAACCTAAAAGGCCTGTCTCGGTTAATATATATTAACCGAGGCGGGCATTCTAACGCAACCGTCTCGATAAATCATTAACCGAGACGGGCATTCTAACTCAACCGCCTCGGTAAATCAGGCCCAGCCCGCTAGCCCACACCAGCCTACTACCATCACCAATATATAAACGCAGGGGTTAGGGTTTTCCACTCCTCACTTCTGTCTCCCCATCTCGCAGTCGAGGCTAAGGATGGCAACAGGGCAGGTTTGTACACGAAACCCGCGGGTTTAAGACCCGACGGGGGCGGGGGTGGGTCTGTTTTTGCCCCCACGGGTCTCGGGTTTGGGCCCCCGAATCAGGGCGGGTTCGGGGGAGGTCTGCAGTTTGCCCCGTGGGTTTATTGCGGGGACCCAAAAATGATGAATCAGCCATAAAAAGGCCAGCATCGCAGAACTGTTATGGCCCATCCCAAGTACAACCCTAGGTATACAATAACAATATCAATCTCTCAGCTTCTCACCACACAGCCGCCGCCCGCACCGCACGTTCACGTGCCGCCCCCTCGCCCTCTCGCACACGCCGCCCCCTGCATCTCGCTTCCTCTTTGCTCCACTGGACTCCGCGCTCCATGATCTGCTAGGCGCCCAGGCCACACGAGCGCCACACCTCGGTCCTGGGCCTCTATGTTGCAAGGCAGCACGAGGCACACTCCGCCTAGCTAGGAGCCAGGGTCACCCAACGTCGTAGGGGCTACATGCACATGGCCATTGAAGTCGCATGAGGCCTCTTGTATCCTATCCTCGGGCGTCCATTGCTAGCAAGCTTGCTTTTATGGTGGATAGCTGCATCGGTAGTTTGGCATGACTCTAGCAAGGCCGACGGGCGACGGCGACCCAGCTCCCATCTCGGGTTTCGGGGGATCCGTTGGGTTTTGGGGACTCGGCGGGTTCGGGGGCGGGGGCGCACCTCCACCCGAAACAAAGTTCGGGGCGGGTTCGGGTCTCATTCTCGGGTTTCGAGTTTGGGTGTGCGGATACTCCACCCGGCCCCGACCTGCCCCGTTGCCATCCTTAGTCGAGGCCGAGTGGCGCACCCCTCGGGGAGGGAGAGCCCGACCGCGCGCCCCTCGGGAGGGAGAGCCCGATGGTGCCCCTCCACTCTCTCCGTCCCTCCACTCTCTCTCCCTCACACTCTCCCTCCTGAGCCCCTCTCCTTCCATACTCCGACGGCGGTGCGGGCGGCTCCCTCTCCGACGTGGAGGCGAGGAGGACCACCGGCGCACTCTCTCTCCGGCGTGGAGGTGAGGAGGACCACCTGCACGCCTCCTTCTCTAGCATGGAGGTGAGGAGGACCACCGGCGTGCCTCCCTCTTCCTCCGGTGAGCGGAGCAGCGGCGGTGCAGATCCGGAGTCTCCCTCTTCTCCCTCCCCTCCGTTGATCCGGCGGCGGCATGCACGGGGCGGTGGATCGGGCATGCAGGGGCGGCGGCACGAGGCCCAGATCCTTCCCTGGTGGTGGATCCGACAGCCCGTGTAGGAGATCCATTAGCGGCAGCGCGTCCAGGTGTGCCCTGGATCTGACTAATGGCGAGGAATAGAGGTCCCAGCGGCTCCACCGATGGCCCCGCGCGAGTAGGTGACTGGATCTAGCCAGCGGGTGCCCAGATCCAGCGGCGGGCGCTCAAATCTAGCGGCGGTTGCGGCGGCGTGCTGATCTAGCTGCGGCGGCGCCTGGATGGGCTCGATGGGCCTATCCATGGATTTTCCTCTTTTTTATTTTTTTATTTGATTAACCGAGGCGTGTAGACAACCACCTCGGTAGTTCGTGTATTAACCGTGATCTTTTGTTCATGGCGTTTACGTTGCTCGCCTCAGTTAATCCAAAACGCCCATCTTGGTTAAACTTACTGTAGTAGTGTTATAACCAGAAGCAATGGTGGTAGCTAGATCCGATGGTGGAGAACCAAGTAATAGGTGCTTAGGTGGATCCAACAGTATGTAACACTGCTAGGTCAATCCAAAACCTAGTAGTAAGGCCCTTATGCCGCTTCCGAATCAAGCCACGACTGTATCCCACATTGACATATCAAACTGGGTGATGTTCTGAACCGACAGTGATATCCCCCATATCACTGTCGGTTAGTGTCTCGGACCAGCAATGATAGTGGGCTTCACTATTGGGTCACTTGAGTCCTAACGATTTGTCCGGATCCGAGGTTTATGACCCAGTAGTGAAGCCATATCACTGCTAGCTCATGCACACCCAATAATGAGCCCTATAGGAATTATGAGTTCTACATTAGTGTAGGCTTAACTTTTGCAACTTACATGTTAACAGCCCAAGTGCCCAAGTGCAATGAGACCACTGACCATTGCGCTTGGCAACCTAAGGAGCATCATCTTATGTGAAAGGACATGGAGAGCCAAGCAAGACGACGAGAAGAGCCTCCAAATACTGAATTGGGGTGGCGGTGCTTGGAAATGATTTGAGATAGGAGGTGGAGCGACGTTGATGGAAATTCAGCGTGAAAAATGGTTGACATAAAACCAGAGGGGGTGCAGAGAAAACCTGGAGGATGTGTGGGGAGGGAAAACCAGGAGCGTTGGGTTGCAATCTTGTGCCTTCCTCGGGTTTGATCTACTGTTGGATGACTGCATTCCCATCTTTTTAGTTGTATATAGATAATGTACTAAAAGAGAAATAGATAGATACAGATAGAAAATAGAAGAAGAGAAAGAGAAGAGGTGCATATACAATATCTTGTCGCTTGTCTATACCTCAATGCAGACAATGCACTAAGCAGGAGGAGTTGGAGGTGATATGTGAAGCTACGAGTGCATAGACCTACATGCGTGATGAGGAAAGCTTTGTTCAGTGCGACAAGGCAACACTGTCCCTATGCCGCCAGGGCCCACCCCGTTGTTGACCCCTATTAGGGCGTGGCCATGCACCTCTACTTCGATTGGCTTCACTGCTGCCCCATGCTGAGGCCCATGGGCCGCCATCGCCTTCGTTCTGCCACTTCCCCATGCTAGACTTGTTGCAACTCTGCCTCCCCTTTGCTCTGCGATGCACTAGAGCACCTTTGCCGCCACCTCAACGACGTCAATGCTACGCATTAGGGGACCTACGCTGCCACCGATGTTGTTCGGACATGATTGAGCAAGTAGGAAAGAGAAGGGAGAGAGATGATGAACCGAGAGATAGAGGCAGTTAGGGGCCCACCTATCAGAGCTATTAGGGGGGGGGGGGCTATAGAAACACATGAAGAAACTAAATTTATTTAGTTTATTTAATACTAGAGATAGATATAGAAGATGCACCTTCTTGGCTTCTGAACCAAACCCCATTCCTCAGTGGATTCCTCGTGTACATCGGGCGCAAGTGACTGTGCCATCACCTGCAGAACGTTTTCCAAGTTCTATGCTTGGTAGTTGGCACATTGATATATATCAAGCCAAGTACATTGCTACGTATCAAAAATCTTAAAGAGCCTCTCATGGAGTGCCACGTAAAATTTATGGACGGTGTGGAGGGAGAGAGAGAAAGGTGAGAGAAAGAGGTGATCGTTTTGTAAAGCAGCCACCTCATGAGAAGAAGTTTAGAACATAATTAACACACTATTTCACCATTATACGATTTAATGTTATCTTACACTCATAAAATTCTTTGTTGATTACACAAATTAAGAATAATTAGATTATCATAAAATAACTTAAAAAGACAACTTATTATATAAGTTAGTTGTTAAATGGTCTCATGATTACTCATGATTATGTAACACTACATAAGAGTGTATCCAGTAGTCTATACTCCCTCCATCCTAAATTGTAAGACGTT